CTGTGCTCCTAGACCCAGCATGAGCCGCCCTGGCTCCTAATACACTTTAAATGCAGAGCCACAATGGGGGTAGGTCCCAGACCCGGAGCAAGCCAGGACTGAGCTGGGCTGCTGGCCAGCCTGCTAAAATACTTACCAGGGAGTGGGGGGGAGGGAAATGCATGTAGTCTATAGCATTAACCTATAAGCTTTTGCTTATCAGTTAATTGGTTAATCGACTAGCCAGTGTTTCTCAACCTTTTTTCCTCATGGCCCCCTTCTGAGCCACGTTTACCTCTGTGGCCCCCCTCATAGCCGTTGTTAGTTGGAAAAAAAGGTACATAATTTACCTAATGTCCTGTTTTTCCCATGTGGCCCCCTAGAGGGAGGGCGTGGCCCCATGGGAGCCACATGGCCCACGGTTGAGAACCACTGGATTAGACTATTACATCCCCAGTGCAGACTTGACCCGTGATAGTTCCAGTTGTGGAAGACTGGCAAGGACTGGTGCTCAAACAAGAATGCTAAAATCCCCCTCTTGCTCTAGTGTTGATTTCCTAGGAGCTCCCTCCCCACTGGCCTGCTTCCTGTTTTCCCATCATCCTCAGTTGCATTGGAAAAAGGAAGGAGAGTGACTTCTGGGTCTGGGACTCACCTACAGCATGCCTAGTGCTCATCTCCTCTCTGCTACTCCACCCTTTCTGTCTGCCCCGTTGCCTCATGGACCGATAATACTTGGAATTCCTTTGAATGGCAATGTAGTGAGTCTGTGATGCACCATCCTGGGTCACGTGGTCAGCACCTTCTGACTTCTCCTCATCCTCAAAAATCACAGCTGCCTGTAAAGCCGTCTGCCGAGAGCTGCCCTTTCTGACACCATTAGTTGCTTTCCTGCAATGCCTTTCTACCTCTTCCAGTTCTTCTGTCTCCATGACAACAGATACGCTTATTTAGGACCAGAACGGCAGAAGACCTGTCACCTCGGTAAACTCCATCAGATTGCTCTGCTTCTGAATCGGAAACAAAACAAAAGAAAAACCCCCAGAAAGTTCCACTTAATTCAGAAAACCCAGAGTGCACTTTTTATGATACAGAATTTGCTACCTGCTGTGACGTGTCCCATTATGATTAAGGAAGCCATCTCACATCTTGCAAGCCTTACTGAAGTGTCTTTAATTTGGACTAGTACATCACCACCCCAGCAGCCATTAGAACATAAGTACCAGGTCCATCTAGCGCAGTATCCTGTCTTCTGACAGTAGCTGCTACCTTGTGATTCAAGTGATCCATCCACTATCCTCCATTTTCAGCTTCTTGTAGACACAAGTTTAGGCTCCCCCAAATCATGGGATCGTGTCACTGTCTTGGCTAACTGTTACTGATGAATCTGTCCCCCATTAATTTTTAAAATTATTTTCAACCCATTTATACTTTCAGCCTTCATAACATTCCCTGGCAACTAGTCCAGCGATTGACTGTGCGTTATAGGGAGAAGCCTTTCCATATGTATATTTTAAATAGGCTGCCTATTATTTCTATTGGGTGATTCCTGGTTCTTGTGCTTATGTGTGAGGGTAAATCACAGTTCCTTTTTCTTTTCCTCCGCACCATTCATGGTTTTATAAACCTCTATCATATCCCTCCTTAGCGGTCTCTGTTATAAACTAAACAGTCCCGGTCTTTTTAATCTCTCTTCATATTGATGATGTTCCACACCCATAATTTTTGTTGTTGTCCTTCTCTGTATCTTTTCCAATTCAGTATACCTTTTTTGAGCTGGGATGACAGGATTGTATGCAATGCAATGGCTGATGTGTTTGTGTATCATGAATTGATATGGTTGTAAAGCTTAAGAGGAGTAGCCGAGTTAGCCTGTAACAGGAAAAACTTAAAAAACACCAAATAGTCTAGCAGCACTTTTTGAAGACTAACAAAACATGTAGATGGTATCATGAGCTTTCGTGGGTACAACCCACTTCTTCAGATGAATGGAGTTATTAAAAGTACAATTCCAAAATAAATAGGTGTTGGGGGGAGAGGGGACAAGTAAGGGGGAAAATAGTGAATTAGAGTGTTCATGTTACATGAAGCTGATAGAGAAGGGGCTGATATAGTTGTGTTAAGTTTTCTGTCTTATTTGTCCTTTTCTTAATAGCTCCTAACATTGTATTCACTTTTTTTGACGGATTGCTGCGGCACACAGAGCAGATATTTTTGGAGAACTATCTGCAGTAACTTGAGTGGTAACAGCTAATTTAGATCCCATCATTTCGTATGTGTAGCTGGGATTATGTTTTCCAATGTGCATTAATTTGCATGTATCCACATTCAATTTCATCTGCTATTTTGTTGCTCAGTAACCCAGTTTCGTGAGATCCCTTTTTAACTCTTCACGGTTAAATATCTTGAGTAAATTTGTATCATTTGCAGACTTTGTGGCCTCTTTTCCAGACTGTTTATGCATATGCTGAACAGCACTGGTCACAGTATAGTTCATGGGGGATACTATTATTTACCTCCCTGCACTGTGAGAATGGGTCATTTAATCCTACTCTTTGTTTCCTCTCTTTTAACTAGTTACTGGTCCATGAGAAGACCTTCCCTCTTATCTCACCAGCACAGGCAGTGAGTTTTATGGGCTCATGGTTCCCGGACACCAGGAATATTGCTGGCCGGGGGCCCAGCGACACCAAAGTTTGGGTCTGGGCCTCTCTCCCAGCTCTGTCTACCAGCCTGTGCACTACCCTCCTCTTGCATCCCCCAACCTGTCTGCTGCCCCTGGACAATTTAAAATGGTTCCCCCCCCTCCGCTGTTACCACCAGTAGCAGGGCTAGAGCAGCTTCCTGCTGCTCGCTCCACATGGCTGCCCACACTGCAGGCCTGAGGGTCAGGATATTTCTGTTCAGTGTTCCCCGCCCCTGCCCCCAAACTCCCATTCTCCCTCCAGCCCTCAAACTCCCTCCTAGAGCCTGTACCTCTCATCTCCTCCTGCATTCCTACCCCCTGCCTCAGATCAGAGCCTGCCCCCAGCACTCAGACTCCATCCCGGAGCCTTAGGCAGGTGGAGGGGAAGGAGTTTGAGTGGGGGAGAGGTGTGGTCTCTGGTCATTCTGGGCACCACAAACATTTCTGCTGAATCTGCTGCTCATGGTCATGAGTAGGCCCTCCCAATAGCCCGGCTGTGAAAAAACCCCAAAATAAGTCCTTTCCCATGAAATCCAATGTCTCCTTGGTCCTAGAAGTGCCCCAGAAAAGGAGGCTCCTTGCTCCGACTGGGCAGGGAGGGGGACAGGACTTGTCCTTCCCCACATGCTGGAGAGTGAAGGGTGTCACTAGACCAGACTCTCCTTTGGAAGCCTCTCCCGGCTGCAGAATGCTCTCTCAGCTGTGACGGTTATACAGAAGTGAGGGTGGCAATCCCATAACTCCCCTACAACAGATTTACAACCCCCCATCTCCTTTAGAATCAGGACCCCATGGTTACAACAGCATGAAATTTCAGATTTAGACTCTGAAAGTGTGAAATTTACCAATGTTCAAATCCTGTGGCCATGAAATTGACCATACTGGACCATGAATTTGGTAGGGCCTACTCATGAGTGCCTACTTTGCTTAAGAGCCTTTGGTGAGGGACTTTATCAAAGGCTTTTTGAAAGTCCAAGTACATTATGCCCCCTGGATCACCCTTGTTCACATTTTTGCTGGTACCCTCAAAAATTCTAGTAGAGTTTTGTAATAGTCAGTCTCCTGTGTTGAGGTCAAGAAGGGCAGTTAACTACGAAGATAATACTTGGTTCTCGTGTAGATATTCTAACTCAATGAGCATTTACAGACATTAGTTGCTGACCAATAGACAGTGTGTACTCAATTTGCAACAATATTTTCCTCACTTGATAAAGAGGAATAGCTCAAATAATATTGCCATCCAACAGCCTTAGTGCTAGTGTATCTGTGAATGAGAGGGTTGAGCTAGTGCTGTGAAACCAGGCAAAGTCAGAGTTTTCAGCAAGTTCAAGAATTTGTCCTAGACTCTGGGGATTCATCCCTGAAAGCAATATATTGAGGGTCTGTACATACAGCCCACTAACCACGCACTCACAGACCACACTGCAATTAGGTGCCCCTACAAATGCAGCTAGGTGTATTGTCATTGAAATACCTGAGTTTATCTTACAGGCAGATGTGCTGATTTACAGGCCCAAAGGACCATTGAAATACCTGAGTTTATCTTACAGACAGATGTGCCGATTTACAGGCCCAAAGTATAAGCTTTGGGAGAACACAAGGCTATAAAAAAAGCAGCACAAATAAAGATGGCGATGATGATGCTGAATGCTGCAAGTAAAGCTGTACTCCATGTGCCTTGTGACTTGAGAGAATTTGGAGTGTGAAGAATCTGTTTGGACAGAAGCTTTGCTCTGGGTGCAGATGCTCTTGTATAAGAGTTGGCTGAACTTGGCTTGTTACATAGAGCTCCAGAAACTGATTGCAACCTTAAACATCGATAGGATTCCTGGAAGAAAAGTTAGTCCTATGGATGTATTGTGGGAAGAAGGAGGCTGCAGTTGCTTCTGAGGGACAGAACTGGTCACATTTGAATGCCAAGCTCCTCTGTGGACTCAACGGTGATGGCGAATGCAATTATCGGCCAGACCTAACGCACAATCGGAGCAGACTGTGGGGCTGCATGATGACTAGTGGCAGGAATTGGATTTGTCCCAAGCATCGTACTTTTTTATCTGCTACATCACACTAAAGATGTCAAAGCTAAATACAAGAAATCGGTGTAATACCAGCATTGCTGCATGAAACGTGAACAGGCAGCTGGCCTGACCAGTATATGTGTATATTATCCATGGAAATAGTCTGTGTGGACTTTGTGACCCTCAAACCCGAGGTGGTAGGAGTGTTGGCGATGGCTGATCACTTCACCCTGTTCACTCAGGTGTTTGTGTTTTCCCATGAAAGATCAGACATTCTGGGTTATAAAGACATTTTACTTTTATAGTCTACCCAGTGGAACTGACAGCCTCCGCAGGCCCCTGGGCAAGGTGTTCGTGTTCCGGGAAGGGGTGGGGCTGAGGGTGGAAGGGGTGGGGCTAAGGGCAGCCAGTTCTCAGTCAGTGCTGTCCAAAGCATGACAGTGGCAGCCAGAGCTCTGGGCCCTTGTGTATCACTGGGCCCTGGGGCAGTTTGCCCCTCCCCAGCTCCTGTTGCTGGGCCTACCACTGGTGATGACAATGGTGAGGAGCCGGTGGAAGAGCGAGTGTAAACCGCGTGCTGTAGTTGCCATCCTTTTCATTGCTACAGATTGTGTGTAGATCTGTTGTGAATGAATTCACCAGTTAGTCAGTCTCCTGGGGAAAGTCTAACTCCCTCCTCTCTTTAACATGCTTGCAAGTCACACAGCATGTTTCAGTGTCTGCAGGTGGTGGGCTCTGCCTCTCACCCAAAAGAGGTCACCGCCAAGACTCTGGTCCCCTTACCACCATACTGAACCGTTAGTTCAGTACCGACACTTGGAGGTGAGCCTCAGCTTCCCTCCCCAGTGACCACCGACATCACTTCCTGCAGAAACTCTCGTCTGTTGGAATTCCCTGGTTTCAAGCACTGCCTGTTGCCAGCCTTGTTTAACTTTGGAGATCTCACAAGATCATAGTCCCGGGCTACGTTATGCCCTTTGCTCAATCCCTGCACAGGAGGCCAGTTGCCATAACCTGGTAGAGTCTGGGAAAGGAAGTAAGAGGCAGACTTTTGCTGCCTACCAGCCTCATCTTCCTTGCAGCATGGGGGATGGAGTCAGGTGGGAGGTGTCTGGTTGCTGAAGGATTTATTGCTTCATAATATTTTTTGCACAGTACTGAAAAGGTCAGTTATATATTTACACCTTTTTTTTTGGTAAAAAGTCCTTGGTTCATCAACATTAGACAGTGGTTGCTGCCGAGGTTGGAAGGGCCATGCTGACTGACTCTAGTTCACTGCATAGAAACAGGCTGGCTGTAAAGAGAG